AGACAATTTATAGAAACAAAAAAATCCATCTATAAAGAACAAACATGAAAAGAAGACTAATAATAATAAGCATTACATAATGAAAAAAAAGTCTTGAAAGTGAATTATAATAAAAAGAACAATATAAATAATAAATGTTCTATTGGTGAATTGAACAATATTACCATACAATAACATAAAATAAATATGAAAATAAATTAATAAATAAACAAAGACAAAAATAGAAAAAGGTTTTTATAGGCGACATGAAAAAACTCATTAAGTTAGAAAAAAAAAGGTAAATAGAAATTATATAAAATACTGATGATTATTGTTCCAAACAAAAAATATATGGTTTACCTGGTCAAGAACAGGTGCTAGATGCGCCCCCTCTGTAATAAAATTAAATTGCCCTTATCACAACCTGTCAATGTGATCTGCATCTGAAACCTACATTTTCACATTAAATTAAAATAAAATGCCAAATAAAGAAGCCATCAGTAAACTGAAATCCAAGGATTATCCCATAATCCATCACCCAGAAAAAAACACACTTCATGGAAACAAACAAGACCAAGAGAAAAAAACCAATAAAACAGAGAGAACAGACTCTAACTCATGAACAGTCTTCGCTAATGTGGCCATTGAAGCAGAGCACCCCGTGTAAAAAGCAAGTGATTGCTCTATTCCGCCATTGTTAGAACAGAGATGGTTTCGCCAATAGAAGAAATTGAATGATTGCACATTGCCTGAACGCAGCCAATCTGACAATAGTCAAGACAAACACAGTTGAGACATTCATATTGAATGAAGAAAGCGAAAGATGCCCCAGATGAAAACATGAGGTTTCCATGAAACCTTAGATTTCTTGAAGGAGGAAGACTAGCCTTGAAACAAAGACTATAACCTCTCCAGAGGCATTTTTGATCGAACTCAAAATTTCACCTGACATCCAAATAACCGAGAAGTTTCTAACATATAAAAATCAACTGGAAAATTGATTCAAATGCAAGGAAATTAAAGGTTGCCATTCTTGTAAGATAACAAGGCCATCATTTATATAACACACGGACCACCATTCAACATGAAAAGCAATCCTCATGATGTTCAGAGTAATAAGTGAACCTGTTATTAACGAACAGAGCCAAAGAAACACACCCACTCAACTTCCAGAAAGCTAGGAACTTAGCCGGATGAAACTTGCGACTGTCCCAAATGATCCCATGAACATAATGATACTTGCACCAAGAAGAAATAACAAACTTTCCATAAAAAGGATCCATCAGCAACAACAAAGACCAGCAGAAGCAACAAGCAATAAACAACAGGAAGAGGGGAAAAAAAGAAAAAGAAACTTAAGAGAAAAAACAGAGAGACAGAGCTCCCCCATCTGATCAATTTCCGGTGTCAGCCAAGACAATACAATAATTACATGCATAGTTTGAACTTTTATCTAAGTATCCTCCACCAGCTCAAACATAATATTCATCCTAAAAATTGCCCCCAACATGAAGCCTAGTGCTCAATACATGGTTAATGCAAAATATTCCCATCTCCAAAGACAAGTCAAATATGAAGTGGGAAAAAGAACACAGGAAGAATAGAGAATAAAAAATTTCATATTGGAAAAAAAAGGTAAATCAACTCCTGACATTAAAAAATGAACAAACTCCCTAAACAACCAGTAAAGAAAAGCACTTACATTAAATTGTAGATCTAGTTCAGCTTGCCCTTCAATGATTCCAAGCAGTTCATACATGTGCTCATGTTAGAGAGAGTCACTGAAGACTCAAACTCTACCAAAAAAAAAATTCAATCTTAGGAGGAGAAGGGACACATGCAACAAAAGTAGAATGGCAAGAAAAAATTGTTATAAATATTAGAAATAAAATTTCATAACATAGAAAACTTTAAAAACTTATTTTTGTAAAGATTAAGTGACAAAAACCAAGGAAAATGAGGGTGACAAGTAGGTATGAAATATCATTCATCAAAATCCCCCACACATAGCTATTGCACTCCTGGACAAAATTTCAAAAAGTAATATATATATATATATATATAGAAACATAAATGAGTTCGTGCTCAAAATGATAATTATGCCAATTCAATTGTCCATGCTCAACCTGAAATGATTCTCATGCAACTAGAATATTCAGAATGCAAACCTAGTAAACTTGGATAGGCAAATAACCACACAGGAAAAAGTGTTTACTCTCAACTTAATAGTGTTTAGGGGTAAATTTTCACTCAAGTCCACTTATCCAATCATTCTACCATAGGCTTGTAAAAATTCTAAATCTCCACCACTTATTAGCAAAATGCATGCATGAATCAAAAGGTCTTTCATTTGGTTGTAATTTAAAGGGTGGAAAGTGGATGTAAGAATGCATGTGGAAAGAAAAAATGTATAACAATATATCACATTTATCCAGCAAACTGATGACATGGGATTCATGAGCATGAGCTAGGTTCAAGACATGGAAATTATACAATAATACTATCAATTAAGAGCAAAGTGATTCATAACTAAGCAAGCAATAACTATTATTTCTTCTTCCTTTTTCTGGTTTTTCTTTGTATTTTTTTATACATTTTTTCACATTGCCTATTGCCTTTTTCTCTCTTCTTTTTTGACAATCTTTTCTTGACTTTTTCTTCTTGTTTTCTTTTCTTTTTCTTCCTAGCTGTATCGCCCTTGTTTCTTTTCTTTTTGACAATCTTTTCTTGGCTTTTTCTCCTTCTTTTCTTTTCCTTTTTTTTTTCTGGCTATTGTAAAACAATCATTTCAGCTTTCACCTTCAATTCGTTCACAATTCATATCAAATATAAATACAACTCAAAATATCTAAAACTTGAATACTAGATATGCAAATGAATCCCAACAATAATAAATATAGCATAACATGCATTCCTAGAAAGCAAGAGGGTGTAAATAACAAATGGAATGAAAGAAAATAACCGACAGGCCCAAAGTGGCTAGCAAAGGATATAATCATGTTAGGTTGGCTATTTGGCTAGACTGGCTATTTTATACGAAGGCTGGCTATTTTATACGAATGCCATGATCATTTTCACAATGCAAATGCAAAAGTAGGTTTGATAAAGAATTAGAACAAGTTCTGGAGAATGAAATGGAATAAGTGGAAAATGCACACTAGAAAGGAATCAGTATAGGCTCAAAATGACCTTCCATCAGGGCTCTGTTATCCCCTAGCTCAAGCAAACCAAGTAAGAACATTCTTATCCTATCCTAGCTACACTTGAAACAGCCAAGTCTAACAATTCGAATCTCATTGGCATCTCATCAAACTAAGAATTTTTATATCAAAACAAAACTTTTTATTTAATTTTCTAAAGATCTTTCAAAAGAAGAACCAAAATTTTTTTTAATTTTTTAAAAATTTTGGCCAAATGACCTAAAACACACTTCCCCATACACTTAAATGTTACATTACCCTCAATGCAAATAGACATATCAGCCTAAATGAATGCAACACCTAAGGGAAAGAAAGCTTCAAAATGATTACCCCCAATGCAAATAGACATATCAACCTAAATGAATGCAACACCTAAGGGAAAGAAAGCTTCAAAATGACAAAACCTAAATGCAAGGGATGACTTTTTTTCTACTAGATCCCCCCACCCAGCCACTTAGACAATTGCCAATCACAAAAATCAACCAGCAATATTCCATAGGAAAAGAAAAGGTGAAGGAGATGATACAACCTAATTTGAAGCACTTCAAGCACTTGAAGTTGAAGGTGTGATCCATAACAACCAACATGCAATCCTTCAAGATACGCTCCATATCAATATTCCTTCTTGAATTACCCGGTGGCTTGGGATCAATGGGTAATGGATCCAAGATATAAAATATAGATATTAAAAAATGAACAAACTCCTCAGACAACCATTAAAAAATGCACTTACATATTTTTTTAGTTAAAAAGCACTTACAATGATTCCAAACAATTCCTTACTGCTCTTTGGTGGAGGAGCTTGTTCATAAAAAAGACTCAAACTCTAAAAAAAAAATCCATAAACATTTGAAATTAAGCATCAGTTGCATCTTCTAAGCTCTACAATAGCATTCAAGAACATATTTACATCCCCTAGCATATTACCAAATTAAACATATCAAATAGACAAATACACTGATGAAATAATGTCGGGAAATTACAAATTAAACATATTAAATAGACAGATACATTGATAAAATATGTTGGGGAATTACAGATACCTTTTTGATCAAATCAGTTATGGGTCTTTCCATTTTCTCTTGGGGCTTCAATAGTTCTGCTTTAACAGGGAAAACCTGAAAGAAAATAAGTATCACTTACTTCTAGCTAAAAGGCATAATAGAATAAAAGGGCTGTCAAAGAACAGTCTCTTGCATGAAAAATTCCAATCATAAATCCACTTGTCAGCATAAGGGAAATTTCTCAAGCAGTACCAAAGTCAAATGAGTAATTATTTTTTGAGCTCAAATCAATTCCTAAGAATTAACGAAAGGTTAAAAAAATCATCAAGAATATAGGGGAAAAAAAAAAGATAAGTCAGCAGGAGGAGGAGGACAAGGGGACATTCAATAGAAGTAAATGTCATAATATATATTTCTTACTAGAAACACTCCTGTGGGTTTATTTTTTTAAAATATATATATATGTATTTATTTTTCTTATGCTAGCTTGCTTCATATTTAATTTAAATGTCATGATCATTTAAATAATAATTTAAATACACAATATAGAAACACTAAACACACCAAAGCCTACAGCAAATTTAGATAGCAGTAAGGAAAATTTAAACATATTGATGCAAATGTTTACAGCTAGACCAATACATCACAAATGAAAGGAGAATATTTTCTTTTTGACCAAAAATCTGCAATGATACCAATATTAATCCAGTAGGGTACAACTGTCCAAACGAGTGAGGTGACTTTGGAAGAGACTAAGTTACCCAATGAGATGGAATTTTTTGGTGTGAATAATCACAAATTACCGAATTGAGAGTGAAAAGAGGCAAGCTGTTACATTAACTTGACTGTCAACTTAGAATTGATTATAAGGTCATCCCATGCTTAGCATCCTCATATGCAGCTGCCAGAAATTCTTCATAGCTAATATCACCAACAATGTCACAAGGAGCACTGCATCCCAAAAATTTAAGTCAAATTTTACTTGACCGAGCTTTTTTTCCCATTCAAGCAAAAGAGAATTGGAGTGTTGTTTATTGAAGTAAACTCAAAAGAGAATCAGAGTATTGTTTCCCGAAGTATACTCTAAAAAAACATAATTTATCGTCACAGCTGCCGGAAAATGCATGGGCAAAGCTTTCTATGCCACTTGAGATGAAAATGGAGGTTAAACCTTGTTTTCCTCTCTAGTAAGTTCACAATCAACTTGGTTCCATACATACTACAGACATTGACCACAAAGTCCACATAATAAAACATGCCAGTGAGTATGATATTGTTTTCTTTGAAGTAATGGATTGGCTTTTTCTTTTCAGACCAATAAAAAAAAATACATTATTACTTATCACCCTATTTGATGGCTAAGAAATAAAGAATTTATTGCTTCAACCACGTATATGATGCTGATCAACAGGGACAAAATGTAATAGCCCCAACTCATATTGAAATTCCAACTCATATGCCTAAGCACACAAGTTTATTACAAGGGGACGGAGATCAAGCATTTGATTGTGGCTTGGCAAATACTATTAAGACTAAACACATGCAAAATTATATGTTTTAAACTTTTAATACCAAATCAGCTTTCAATTCTAGCAGCAAATTAACATCTCATACACTATATAGTATTCAATGTAAGAAATCACTGCTCACAAAGGAACAATGTAAGCTAAACTCAATTCAAATATATCAAAAGATATATTCAGTACTCTTCTATATCTTTGACCACATCCAACAATCAATCATAACACCCACAAATAAAAGACGATTAGCAAGTTACATTAATAGTAAGCCCAAAATAAAAACTGTTGACTATCCGACACGAACACGCGTTCAGTACGCAAGAACAGCGCGTCCCTTTTCCCAGTTTCTGGCGGACGAAGGTCAGACGCGGGCAGACGCGAAACTCTGCGTTTTTCACTTCCTTTTACTCAGTCCCAGCTCCAGAAATCCGTTGCCCTATCTTTTCAGCTCCAATCGACCACTGTTTTACTCAGACCGTTGTTTTCTGCAGTAGCTTCACGGTTCACTCTGCGTCGCTGCCTCACCCGCTCACCGTCTGCTCTGCCTCAGTCTTCGTATTTGACCGTCTGCTCTGGCTCAACGTCTTCGACCGTCTACTCTGCCTCACCGTCGTTCTTCAGCTTCATTGGTAATTTATTCAGTTCATGTAGTCGGTCGACGGTCATTTTTCAGCTTCATTTTCAGTTCCTCTTGTGCTGCTGAGTGCTGATGGATATTTTATTATTATTATTATTGCATTGCATTACTGATTGAATTACTGATTTGAACGAGAGAGCTGATCGCCTGATTGAATTACTGCTGAACCAAGAGAGCTGTCCAGAACCTTGAATTACTGATTTAATTTTTTTTATTTAGATGGATTATTTTGTTGAGTTAAACATTGATTTATTTTAAATTTTTATTAGCTCTCTTCTTGTTAAAATTGCAGGATATTATTTAAAATTAAACCTGCAATGGCTTCTAATTCTAGACTCGGTAGTAGTTCAGGAAGTGTGAATTCTCAATTTCAATCTAGTAATGAAAGACAGAAAGAGAGTACTCCTTTATGAGCTTATATAACTTTGGTTCCTCAAAAAAATGAAGGGGATGGTGGAAATAGAAGTTGGAAGTGTAACTATTGTAATAACCAATATAATGGCTCTTATTCTAGAGTTAAATTTCATTTGTTGAGGATCTCTGGAAAGGGTATTGCTATATGCCCGAAAGTTGATGATAGTTGTTTAGGTGAAATGCGAAAAGCTCAAGAGGAGGCTGAGAATAGAACAAAACTAAGACATGTGCCATTGCCAACTCCAACTGAGAGCTTGTCTCCTTTATGTCAAAGGGGTTCTACCCCTATTCAAAGTGAACACAATCAGGGAAAAGGAGGGCAATAAATACAATAGAAAGAGCTTTCCAACAAGGAGCTAGAGATAATTTAACTGCTGAAATTACTAGAATGTTCTATTCGGCTGACTTGTCTTTTAATTTGGCACGTAACCCATATTTTATTAGTGCATTTCAATATGCTGCCAACAACATAATTCTTGGTTTTAAACCTCCTAGTTATAATGCACTAAGGTCTACTTTGTTGCAAAAAGAAAGGGCCAATGTTGAAAAGCAACTTGAATCAATCAAAGGGACTTGGAATCATAAGGGGGTAAGTATAGTTACGGATGGTTGGACAGATGTACAAAGAAGGCCATTAATTAATTTTATGGCTGTCAGTGATGGAAGCCCCATGTTTTTGAAGGCAATTGATGCAACTAGTGAGTATAAAGATAGATTTTACATGGCTGACTTGATAAAGAAAGTGGTTGAAGAAGTGGGGCCTCATAAAGTTGTTCAAGTAATTACTGATAATGCACCTGTTTGTAAATCTGCTGGTAAGATGGTGGAAGATGAATATCCTCACATCTTTTGGACACCATGTGTGGTGCATACACTTAATCTTGCCTTGAAGAATATATGTGCAGCAAAAAATACAGAGGCAAATGAAATTGTTTATGAAGAATGTCGTTGGATCATTGAGGTGAGGGATGATGCAGTCTTTATCCGAACATTTATCATGAATCATTCTATGAGATTGGCTATGTTTAATGAATTCGTGCCATTAAAATTGCTTGCAATAGCCGAAACAAGATTTGCATCAACAATTGTGATGTTGAAGAGATTCAGACTTATCAAAACTTCTCTTCGTACACTGGTTATTAGTGAAGAATGGAATGCTTATAGAGATGATGATATTGGAAAGGCTGCTACTTTGAAGGACATAATTCTTAATGATCTTTGGTGGGAGAAGGTTGATTATATTCTCTCTTTCACTAAGCCAATTTATGATATGTTGAGATTTGCTGACACAGATGGACCCACACTTCATTTGATTTATGAGATGTGGGATTCAATGATAGAGCAAATCAAGGAATCAATTTATAAGCATGAAAGAAAATCACTTTCTGAGTACTCTTCATTTTATGAAGTTGTTTATAACATCATCATTGATCGATGGACAAAAAGTGCCACTCCACTACATTGTCTTGCCCACTCACTGAATCCTAGGTGTGTTATTCTTATTTTTTATCATGAAATTCTTTTCTTTATCATTTTTGCATCACAACTCCAATTAATTTTATTATATTATTGTAGGTATTATACAACACAATGGCTTGAAGGTGGACTAAATAGAGTCTCTCCACATAGAGATGCTGAAATATCAACTGAAAGGAAAAAGTGCATTAGAAGGATGTTTCCAGATGAAGAAGAGAGGAAATTGGTTATGAATGAATTTTCAAAATTTTCTGGATGTTCAGATGAGTTCTCTTTTGTTGAATCCATACAAGATAGATATATATTAGAGCCTAAGGTTTGGTGGAGCAATCATGGTGCTGATGCTCCTAAACTTCAAGGGATTGCATTGAAACTTCTCAATCAACCATGCTCATCATCTTGTTGTGAAAGAAATTGGAGCACTTACTCTTTTGTTCATTCACTAAAGAGAAATAGGATGCTTCCAAAAAGAGCAGAGAACTTAGTTTTTGTTCATTCAAATCTTCGCCTTCTTTCAAGAAAGAGTGAGAAGTATTCCACTGGAGAAAGTAGATTGTGGGATATTAGTGGAGATTGTTGGGAAATAGATGATGTTGAAAATCTTGAAGTTGCAAGTTTATCTCTAGATGAGCCAATTTTGGAGAGAGAACTTATAGAAAAAAGTGGTGATGTCAATGAAGATGAAGAAGTTTAGAATTACTTTAAGTTGATAATTATCTTTTGCCACTTGATAGTGTTTAAGTGCTTGACTATTTATCATATTATATTTTGTGATGACATTAGACATCTTGAAATTGTGTTTTTAGACATCCAAATATTTAATATTTAATTATTTATATAGCTGTACCCGTATCCTAAAATTTTGAAAAATAGTCGTGTCCGCGTATCGTATCGTACCCGACACTTGTACCCGTATCGGTGCTTCTTAGCTATCCACTATTAAATGAAGGAATCTGAGATGTAATCCAATCAACCAAACTTTGTGAAGCAATACAGACACAATATGTAAATCAAGTACATAATACAAACAACATTTGCAAGTCTCCAAAAGAGGGTGTTGCGGTTCTTCTCGATGCCCAAAAGAAAATGATGAGCATGAAAACCATATTTCAAGAGCACAATGTAAAATGATTCTGTTTAGATTATAGTAAAGAGTTTTGGTTGTGGTGCACTGTGGAAGTAAAGGAAGGATGATGCAGAGAGAGAGAGACTTGAAATTTAAAAACCAATGAAGAATGGAAGGAGAAATCGACGAAAATGACTAAGCTTTGTATATATTGAATGCTATCATTCGGTAGGTTAATCGAAGCATAGAGGAAGAGAAAGGATAATTTTTTCAACAAAATATAAGTGCATTAACCGTGAGAGATGTTAGATCAATTACCATTCTTCACTCCTCCCAAATCCTCTCCCCCATCGCAAATTCTTCTTCCAAAGCTTAATTTATGGGAGAAATCCTAGATGAAGGAAGAAAACAAACGAAGAAGTAATTAAGAACAATTGATTAGAACTTGGGGAGGGAAAAAATAAAAAAGCATGGCGATACGACTGAAGAAGACTAATAAAGAAGAACAGCAGAGAAGACAGGGATTATTGGTTTCTATATTCTGATATAGCTTGTTAATGGGCAAAAGTGACAAGATATTTTAAACAACCTGAAGGGGTCAGAGTGGATGTCGATCTCATTCTCATTTGTCCTCCGCCTCCTTGATGACCCTCGCCGCCAACCAAGAACAACATGAACTGGGTCACAGATGGCACTTCAAATAGACGCGCACTATCCCCTTCATCTTCTTCGTGCTGCCTTCTGTTGTGATCGAATCAAATACCTATACGCCCTTTGTCTCTTACTTAGGACATTCTAGAAGAGGGAGTGGAAGGAATGAAAGTGGCGGGCAGGTGATTAGGCAGGGAAATCGACGCGCATTTGCCGCTGACATCGACGCGCATTTGCTACCACCTTTGTCGTTCATCGCTAACACAAACTCACAATTTCCTCCTTCAAAATCCTCAAACTCGCCTTAGATCCCAATCGCCTCTGCCTCAGATCATTCAACCGTCCTACCGAAGACCAATATCCCAAAATTGACATCAACCCTCTTTGAGAACGCCCACACACAAAACCGAATTGCCCAGCGCACAAATGCACCGAGCCAAAAGAAACCCTCTCTCACACTCAGCCTGTGCCGAGAAAGGGTTGCCGTAGACGGCATCGCTCCGCCGTGCGGAGAACCCTCCGAAAACGAGGCGACGGTTCAAAACTCTAGCAAGGCATGAGGCCCCAGCCAATCGTTTCCCTATGACTTGAGTCTCAGTCTTGAAGAGTCACGCCGCAGATCCCGTCAGTTATTTGTCCCTCGCTTAGGTTACATGATAGCAGCCACTAATAATAGCTTCGCAGAATCGCGCAGATGTGCTCATCACTCATGATTGGAAATAAAAAGCCCTTTGCAAAAGGAAGGAAATAAATAAATAAAAGAAAGCCCAACATAAATTATGGTTGAACGGTAAATCATCGTCTTCTTAAATTTTAAGGCTTTACCATTAATTTGAAATTCACTGAATCTAATTTACTTAATTTTTATTAATAATAATTAATTTTTATTAAAAATAATATTTTATTCCATAATCGTTCACACTATTCAATTTAAAATTTATTATTATTATTATTATTATTGTTATTATTATTATAAATTTGTATTCAAAAGATATTACAAACGTGTGTGCACTTGTTTTTTATATGCAAGGATAGATATTTAGCCTTCTTTCACAAAACACTCGTTGGTTAGGGGTGCTATAGATTTGTCAAAAGTATTTTTCCTTGAGAAGTTAGTTTTAAAAAAATAAAATAAAGAATGAATTTATACTAATTTCTAGAAAGCATTATTCTAATTTCAATTTAGACGCATGTAAGTGACTTGCCTATTAGAATGTTTACCCCTCTAATATGGCATATATTTTTTGGTCTTAACGTAAGAACAAGTTGACTAATTTACATCTATTCAAGAAATTAAACAATTTAGATACAAAACTTGGATAAGTCACACCCATTATAGTAGGATTTAGACATTAAAAGTGGAATATTCTATATAGTTGTAATTTAGTATATATAGTTATATTTTCTTTTTTAAATTACATTTATTCTATGATATTTGTTAAGATTGTGTACAAAAAGGCAAAATAAATAGAGCAATGAGGATTTAAAATAAAGAATATTCAAACCTCATGCATTGCACAAATGTGATTAAAATTCGTGTGAGCGAAACAAACATAAAAAACACAATTTAAATTAGAACATAAAAAATAAATATTTTGTCATTAAATATATAAAAAGATAAACCTTCTACACGTTGATATTATTTAAAAATCTTATTAAAAATTTTATCATTTAAAGATTAAAACATCATTTATAAAAAGAATAGACATAATGTTATTGATTAATTTTACATGTCATTTATTTATTTAATCAAATTAAATTATTAAGTTATACAATGTGATGAAATTTTGTAGAATCTTTTTAATCACTTCTTCACAAGAACAAAGGTTTTAATGAATAATAAGTAATAAACGTATATGAAACTTCTTTGTATTGAATGGTTTTAATTGTATTTTTTTTTCAAGAGATATATTTTAAAAACATAATTATAAATGATCTTTTAGCTGTTAATTTGAAGTCCCAAAAATATAGTCTCTTTAAACATTTGATGATAGAAATACATCTAATATGTCATCTAATGTATATTTGAAGTCACAAAAAAGTCATTTATTTTCTAACATAACTATGTTGTGTTTTTTATTTTTCATTTTTAATCTTTATGTAATAAAAGGGATATTTTTATCTTATAAAATGATAAATGATAAAAATCAAACTATTTGGGGAGCTCTGTCTTCAGAGCCTTCAAATCTTGTAAACAAATATAGCAAATCTTGAATCACTTTTTCAGGATTAATCATCTAGCTATTCCCAAAATTTGGATTCTAATAGATTCTAAAGGGGGAAACTTACTTGAGACAATATCTACAAAATATTAAGAGGTGTTAACATAATCACCATATCAAATATATCAAATTGTTCTTAATAAATAATTTATAAAGCACTTGGGACCCAAGACTTCATTTTCAAAATCATTCAAAATTATTTGAAATCCAATACATATTAATCATTGCACAACGGAAAACAACTATGTGTATTCATCACATTCAACCCATGCTTAAACATAAGAGATATAAGATTAAAAAGTGAGCAATGTGCCACAGTGTGGCATGCACCACATGCGCCATGGCATGTGGCACAAAGCTATGGGCTTCCCTTTTTATGCCATGTGCCATGGCTTATTGAGCCATATGTCACGGCGCACATGATAGATTTTTACTGTTATATGATAATTCGTAAAGGTGAACTTTTGGCGTGCGCAATTTTCACATACGTCATCCGATCAAAGTGATTCAAATGCACACTTGAAGTTTATTTCATAAGCTAACTAATGAGATAAGTTTGAACACAATCTAATAGTCCAATATAAATTTGAACACTAGAGTGTAAAAAGTCACTTTTTCTAAAAAAAGGGAGAATGACAATTAAGGACCTGTTAAGAATATTAATCCTAATTACGGATCGTGAAATTTTGAAATCAGAGTTAAGGATCATGGTCCTTAATTGTGATATAAAAAATATAATTTGTGATGTGGGATTCACTAACGCGACTTGGGAATTCACTAACCCAACTTAAGAAAATTACTAACGTATATTGTGAAAATATGAAACCCCACCTGGAAATGAAATGTTTAACAAAAAGCACCATTTGAGAATTCACTAACTAGACTTCAAAAAATTTCTAACATATATTATGAAAAAATGAAACCCCACTTGAGAATCATTAATAAAAAGTGACTTATCCAAATTGGTGTTTTTTATTAAACAATTGATTCCCAAGTGAAGTTTCATGTTTTCACAATATACGTTAGAAATTTTTCCAAGTCGAGTTAGTGAATTCTCAAGTGGCGTTTTTTGTTAAACATTCAATTTCCAAGTGGGGTTTCATGTTTTCACAATATACATTACAAATTTTCTCAAGTTGGGTTAGTGAATTCCCAAGTGTAATGAATCCCACCTCACAAATTACATTTTTTAATCACAATTAAGGACTATGGTCCTTAACTGGGATTTCAAAATTTCACAATCCGTAATTGAGATTAATGTTCTTAGCAGGTCCTTAATTGTCATTCTCCCCTAAAAAATTTTGCACACCAAAGTGTTCAAATTGCTCACTTAGCCTCATTAAATTGTTTGGGACTTAGAACCAAGTCCAAAAGAACTTTATACACTTGACTGACCACACATCACATAATATATTCACATAAATTAACATTTGACCATTCAACTGCCTATTTTACAAACAAAAGGGGCTATATTTCACTACTAAACACAACAGTGTATTCTTGGCCATTCTACTCATAATCCTCACACAGTTTTCACCACAATTCATTGCATATATACCCACACATACATTCACAACCAAATCTTAGCCTCAATCACATCATTTACACACACATTGATTAAGATTTCTCTGAAGTCACTAGAAATCATAATGCAAACATGCATACAAGTCCTATGGCATCTTTCATTTATAATATTCACAAGAGACAAAGTCCATTATACAAACTCTAAATTTTCATGATTTAATCCATCCTAAGCTGGCCTTGAGTCTTTCCCTTTTCCTAGCTCACTACTTTGACTTGTAAAAATGTAACCACGAGATGAGATAATAATCTAAGTAATAGAACAGCCCACTACTATAAACTATCACAAGTAACTATAAGCAAATATAGTATATATATAATTCAAACATAGCATATAATACAAATACGATTTCATAAAACCATTTTTACTGCAAATCACTACTTTCTGCATGATCACTACTGTCCAAACGTTTCTATCACCACAACTGAAACCATAGACTTATAATGGGCCAATACACACTCACTGACCTGAGCGCACCTTCAGTTGTAGAATCACCCAGCCAAAGGTATTCTGTCCCACTTTTAGACTATGATTTCCCCCTATCACACACTCATCAAGGTGTTGTTACTCTAACGCTGCATTACATAGATGCTAAGGAGCTTAGATCTCTAACACCACACCCCTCATAAGCACTAAGGAGATAGTCTCCAACACTACACCTAAAAAAGCACTAAGGAGATGAAATTCTCTGACACCGCACCCTGTCAGGCACTAAGGAGAATATACCATATGGACTTTCACTATTTCTCCTTACAGGTGAACTCTCACCCCTATGACCATGCTTTTATATAAATCACATATAAATAAATAAATAAATATATATATATATAACCACATATTTTCACCTGTTTTTGTAGCTGAAATTCATTTTATGCAATAACCATGCATTGTCTCAAAACATGCTCGATTTAAAATAATGTCATGCAATAGATATCATACTTTCAAATAGTTATAATAGATAGTCAAACAAAAGAAGTTATTCGATTACCTTAATCCTTCTATCACTAGAAAGGTTACCATGGATTTCACAACCACTAACGCTTCTCTATATGCTTCCTTTCTCACTCTACATGTATAATATGCTAATCTACACATAATTAGTACTATTAGTCAATTAATCAGATTGACCAAAAGCACTTACTAGTAAAAACCATATCTAGCCATTCATTCTCTTTCACTTAGTCAATCTAGGCTCATCACTACTCATTCACCACTTTCTACCACTTTGATAAACCCTTAGTTGCCTTAGGTTATCAAATTTAAAACTAAAATGGAGAAGTGAATATCCTAGGTCATTTCCTTAGGGATATTCAAATTATTGTTCAAGTGCTACAAATTAAGCTAAATTTCAAGTAATCAAAACTAAGTCTAAGTGCATGAATTAGATATTTGTAATTTTCTATTTTAATTAGAATGGAATAAATGGTAATTATGATGAGCCAAGTCAGATTTCCTAACATTAATAATTAATTTCCAGAAATATATTAATAAAAACCCTCTTAATTAACCTAATATGAGACACTTAGAAGCCTCTAAATATAGTGCACTATTAGATTTAATGGATACTATTAAATCTAGGTCAAGTGAATTTAGAATTAACATTATGTCCAGCCTTGTTCTACATAAGTTTTAGACCAAAATTAGTGGAAGAAAAACACCTTAAGCCAAATTCATATAACCAATATGGATCTAACATATGTCTACATATGAACTTGAACAAGAATGAGCAAGAACTTGTGAAATAACCCTAGAACATCAAGCTAAATCATAACTTTTAGATATGGACATAGCATAAAAATCTAAATTCAACATTCATATT